GAAACAAAAATCATCAAAAAAGGATTTCTCAAATTAGTTTTGTTTAGTGTTTGTCCTTTTCTTCTTCATCTTCAATTTCTCCGTATCTCCAGACATTAAGGTGTTGATCCTTAGCAGAAGCTTGAGCATAAGTCATAGCAACTCCCCATTCACTGTTATCATTGAAGAATCTATCGAGTGTAGAAAGACCTTGTTGTACAAGTCTAGTGTTAATGCAGACATCTTCAACAACAACTTTAGCGACTTCTCTATCATTAACAGTAGCAACAAACATAGTAGCTTCTTTATTGAAGAAAGCAGAAACAGCAGCAACCATAGAATCAAAATCAACATCTTTTCCTCTAACAAGTGTCTTAATACCAGCAAGAGCAATTGATTTAACAGTAACTTCAATCTTTTCTTCCTCTTCTTTAAGTGGCTTTAATTTATTCTTACCACAAACAATAACTACACCAGTATCAATACATTTAACAACATTAGCAGTTGGAACAGCCTTAGTAATAATAGCTCTATATTGAACTCCTTTAATTTCAACAATACATTTTTGTCCATCTTTTTGTTCAACTGATCCTTTGCTGCATTTCTTCAATTTGTTACTTAATTCATCAATGAACTTAGCATCAGCAGCTTTTTCATAATAATAAATCATTGATCCATCAAAACCAGTAATATAAACATTCTTTCCTTCACCAAATTTAATTTCTCTGTGAACTTCTTTAACAACTTTAACTGGTCTAACTGGTTGTGGTTTAGTTTCACCATCTTTTTTAGCTCCAACAAATTTATAAATACCTTCTTGGTTTTCTTTCAATTCAGCAATATTTTCTGGGATATCTCTTCCAGCAAATTGGGCATATGCTTTTCCTAAAACAACATCACAAAGATCAAACTTCTTAGTAAGAATATCAACAGAGAAGTTTCCTTTGAAGAATTCTCTAAAATCGACAGTAACTTCATTAAGTCCAAAGAGGGATCTTACAGCTGCTTTTGACTCTTCATTGAATTTCTTAAGTTCTTCATTTTCATCATCTCTTGGAATTCTACAATGTGAAAGGAATACAGTCATTCTACAATCCTTTTCTGGAATGTAAATAATATATTTGCATACATTAATAACTCTTTCAACAATACAATTGAAACTGTTGTTAAGGAAAACATCTTTAATTGACTCTCTCTTTTCTGGTGGATATTGAGTAACAGCCTTTTCTTTATATTCTCCTTTTGGTGTTTCAGTAAGAAGTTTGTAATCAAATGATTGATAGAATTCATCATGTGACTTTTCTAAAAGAACAAGTCCTTCTTTAATTAATGTAACAGCAACATTCTTTCCAGAGGCATATACATCATAGAAGATTTCTTCAATAGTTTTTTCTTCTTTAGTGAAACTTCTTCTGTAACATTCTTTAGCTTCAAACTTCTTTCCAACAAGAAGTTTTCTAAGACATTCCTTAATTCTGAATTGAACAAGGTCGTTAAATTCCTTGTTATTCTTTTTGAAGACTGGTCTAACAGATGCAAGATGAATATCATAAACTTCTGTTCCTTTCTTAGCTTTGATATGATTTCCGATAGAAATAATTTCAGCTCCTGAAATTACTTTAGCATTCTTCTTTCTGTCTTCAAGTTCCTTTAATCTTTGTTGTCTTTTAGCAATAAGAGCATCTTCAGCAGCTTGATCAAATTCAGTCCATCTAGCTTTCTTTTCTTTTTTAGCTTCTTTCTCAGCAGCTTGATATTTTTGTTTAATTTCTTCAGTAGCAGTTTCTAATTTATTACATACAACAAATCCTGATTTCAATAATTCTTCTGCAATATCTTTCTTTTCAACAGAAACTTCAGCATAAACAAAACGTGAAGTAGTTTCAATAACTTTAACTGTTACATCTCTTTGATTGAAATATCTGTTGATATATTTCATAGCCTCTTCAGCATCTTCATCAAATTCAAATTTACCTTTCTCAGTATTGAATCTAAGCATTTGATTGACTCCATATAATACTGCCTTGAATCTTCTTCTATTATTGTCTTCAATAATATAATGTGATGGTGCTTCAACTCTCTTGATATGTCCATGAACAGTTTTTCCTTTTAATTCACTAATCTCTTTTTCATTAAAGAATACATTTTCTGGTCTCTTCATTGCAACCTTAGTCATGTCGTCATTGTGGATGCCTTTATGTAATTCTTTTGCTTTTTCTTCTGCGGCACGGTATTGAGCAAAATCTTTTCCTTTAACCTTTAATGAAGCATATCCATTTTCAATTAAAGTACATACAATATTTTCCTTTCCAACAAATGGAACCACTGCCTTTGGAATACCTTCATGTTCTGAGACAACTTCAAATTTAATTTCTTTACCAGTGACCAATTTTTTTCTTAATAACTCACTACATTCATATGCAAATGCTTCTTCTTTCTTTTGTTTTGTATCATATCTGGGAGATCTACATAAGCTAATACAACGGTACTCTTTTGTCGTCTTTCTTAGCTGACAAGACAAGGCTGTTGTTAGACTTTACTTTAGCAACAAAAGCAGTGAAAGTTTTCTTTTCTTTCTTTGGTTCACTCTCTGGTTTCTTTTCAACCTTCTTTGAGAGATCCTTCTTTTTGAGTATTTTGTGCTGGCATTAAATGGTGATGTGAATAAAATTCCAGTTCAGTTTCTTGTATTACTAGGGTTCCTTATCAGATTCATAACTCCTTATTAATATACTTATTATATTTTATGGTTCTTCTTCTTATTGTTTCTAATTTTTTTAAAATGTTGACGTGTCTATCTTCTAGAGGTTATAAATATAAATAAATCCTTTCTTGAACCATTACCTATTTCTTAAAAAACAAAAATAATTGACTAAAAATCAGTTCAATCTATAGTATTGTCTTTCGACATTTTATTTTTTTCCTTTTTTGTCCATTGCTAATTTCTTCGCTTTCATTGGTCCAATAACACCATTTAATTTATAACGAGTTTGATTTGTCAATTTTTTGACAAACTTTCTTTCAGGATGCCACATTGGATTTTTTGGATTAATTGATGGCATTTTTAAATTATTTAAGTCTGGCTCTTGTTGTGAGTTACCTCCCCAAATGTTCGTGTATTTTGTTTTATGCCCTACAGGTTTTGTTTGTGAAATTTTTCCTGTTTCAATTAATTTTGTTACCTCTTTCTGAACTGCAACATCTCTTTTTGTAGGTTTAGTTGTTGTGTGTTTTTTAGGGGCAATAACTTTGGTATCAATTCCTTTATCTTCAAACAACTCAAAGTCACCAGCAACTATCGTTCGGTTTTCAGTTTTTTTCTTCTCTTCGATTGGTTTTTCTGTTTCAATTGGTTTTGGTTCACTGATTGTTATTGGTTGGTGACTTGATACAATTCTTCTTGGCATTTATCTTGAGATTTAAGTTATATTATCTGTTCAACCCTTTATATAGTAATTCAATAGTATTTTGTAAATATCCTTATAGTTTTGATTTATTCTATAATTTTTTAAGATTACGATTTTTTTGTTTATTCTAATAAAAATAAGGAACCATCATAACACTAATAGTTAATTAATCTCAAAAAACTGAGAATTTGACAACCATCAATCTTAGAACTTCAAACAGCTACTTATAAATTATAATAAAAGATTTTAAAAGGTAACACAGATGGGAGCTTTTATATCATCATATAATAACTCTAACCAACAACAAGAATTAGAAAAGATTGTATACCCTGAAATTGTTGGTGTTAAACAAATTGATCATTATTCAAAAAAATTAATTTTTATTCTTAAAATTCAATTTGAAGAAGAGTTAGAAGAAGGTCAGTGTCAAAGTTTTAAACAAAAACTAGAAGAAACAGTCAAACGTATTGGAGTAGAGTCTCAAGAAACTCATCTCCATCAAACTATCAGCAAGTATGACTATATTAATTTTCTTGAATTTCAAGAGTATACTAATTATCTTCTTACCCGGAATATATCAGAAATAAATGAATACTCTGAAGAAGTCATTAACAATCAAATGAACTTAATTGAAAATGAAATATTTATTACTCAATATAAAAAAACTCATGAATTAAAGTTGTTGAATAATTATAATGAATGGATGAATCAATACAAACAAGAAATATTATATTCTGTTGCATGGAAATCTTTTTTAAAAGGTTCTTACAAAAAAGAAGCAACATATCAAGAATTTCTTCGACACTGTATTTATTCTATTCTTAAAGAAAAAAAAGTTGAAGATAACAATACAAAAGGATTGTCACAAAGAAAACTACCATCACCCTATTCATTAGGAAATTCTCAAATGTCCAAAGGCACTATTGTTAAACAAATTAACTTATTAAAACATAACCGAGAACTTCAAAGCTCTGTTGAGGAACTTGTTAAATACGATACAGAAAATAAACATGAAAAAGAATATGAAGAATTAATGAAGAAAATATTGTTTGTTTTGTTCTTAATAATATAATGTAAAAAATATTTATGAATAATTTAGTTCTGAAATACCTACTCTCTCAGAAGTACTTCCACTGGATAAAATTATCAAATCATTTCACTACTTGTTTGAAAATAATATCAAATCATCTACAGTTGTTATTGATTTTCTTAAATATTTAATCTCAAATTATAAAAATTTTTATCCAATTGGAACTCAAAAATTTCAACAAGCAATAGATTCATGTAATGGAAATATTTTCCAGATGAAAAAAGTTCTCAACAAATTTCTTTCTTAAAAATTAACATTATTTCTGTTAATAAATCATGACTTTATTTACATTTTGTCAATTTGTAAAAAATAAACTTCTGCGAAAATATTAATACAAATGACACGTTATCAAAAACAAATACAAAAGGTCAATTTCTTGGTAATAACGAGAGGCAAAATGTTTCATCAGATAATGAACTTCTTTTAAACTTTTTCTAATTCACTAAGAAAAGAGATTATAATTTATCAGATATAATAAATTAATAATGAACAAAGTCATAGAATTAATCTCTTCTATATTTTGGAATTTTCCTCGTACTTGTTTGACTGGTTTTATGTTTAATTTTGCATCCTATTTTTATTGGCTAGTTGTTCCATTGAAATGTGTTGATATGGGTGGGTCTACATTAGATCTTTCCTTATTACAGGCAACTGCTTTTGTTATTTATTCTATTATTTCTCCTATTTGTGGTAAGTTGGGTGATAAGTTTAATCCATATATTCTTATTAGGATAGCAATGTGTTTCTTTGTTGTTGCTGTAGCAATTATTCTTATATGGCCAAATACATTTTTTGTCCTTTATATCTCAGTCGCTATTTGGCCATTTTGTACTGCTTTCTTTTGGCCAGTAACTACAGGAACAGTAGGATTTGAAGCACCTCTAGGGTGTGAGAATAGAAACACTTCATTATATCAAGTTTCATGGTCAATTGGTAAAGCTCTTGGATTTTTATTTGGGGGAATGTTAAAAGGAGCTTTAGGAACTAATGCGTTATACATTTGTATTGCAATTGTAGCTATAAACATAATATTATATCCATTTACTCATCCAAAACGAATTAGAGAGAAAATAAAACAGATGAAAAAACAGAAAACAAAACCTAAAGAGGTAAGTGATATTCCAGTAGAAGTTACAGTTCATCAACAAGATCCACATGAAATAAATGTTCCAGTAGAAATGGTAAATTCAATTCCTTCAGAATTACAAGGTAATAAACCATCATCTGAAATACAAATACATGAAGAAACAAATAATATAAATGATATCAAAGTTAAATGGAATGTAAATGATTATAAAAATAAAACTTATATTTATCTTGGTTATGTTATGCAACTTGGTGTTTATGGCACTTCGGCAATTCTTTCTAATTCATATGTAACTTTAGCTAAAGATAAAGATATTACTATTCCATTTGGACAAAACCCTGTTGAAATGTATATTGGTATTATTTTTTTCTGTTATTTTATTGCTCAAACTCTTGTAATGGCAATAATGTCTTTTTCTACATTCTGGATTTACATGAGAAGTTTACTTTTATTATTCCAATTCTTCTATTTAATGTTTTTGATTACACTAGGTCTTTCTGCTCAACCATATGTTAATTGGTTTTTAGCTTTTATGGGTGGTTTAGCTGGTGGATTTGCATATCAAACATCAACATATTATTCTATGAGAGCAAGTGAATCAAGTAAGTCAATGTTTATGGGTATTAGTGAATGTGTTGGAGGTTTAGGAAATGCGTTATTACCTTTAATAAGTGGATTATTATGTACTTCTATGAATAATAATTATATTCAAATTTACATTGCAATTGTAGTGATTTTATTATGTTTAATCATTGAAGAAATAGTATATTATATTGGTTATGGAATTAATAAAAGAAGACAAGCAAAACGAGCTGATCCAACTAAAGATTATCATCAATACCAAGAAGAAAACAAAAAAAATACAGATTGTTCAATTGAACTTACTCAAAATTAATTCTTATTTTTTTCTTCTTTCGCTTTGACTTTGTTTTTTGTAATAGAAATTTCTAATGGAAAGAATAAGTTATGAATTAAAATGTATGAGAAATAAAAGTACTGTTTCATATGATAATTCAGTTCACTTACTTTTTTTCTCTTCTTTTCTAAGAATATTATAAACGAAAACAAAGTATTGTTCTCGCTCTTAACTATTCTATTAAATAGTTTTTTTCAGAACCTATTCTTTAAATATTGATACGTATAGTTTTATTTTATTATTTTAAATACAATTAATTTTTTTCTTTCAATTTTTAAGTTCAAATTAATTTCATATTTTAATGTTTTAAAATTAAGAAAAATAAATTAAAAATAATATGAATTTTGTTGTTTATCTTATCTTATTCTTCTTCTTATTATCTTCTTTTATTTTTTTTCTTTATTTCTCTTTCTTTACATATACCTTTTACATACCTTTCTTTCATTTTCTTCTTGTAAAGTGATGAACTTATGACAATAAAGAAAGAATCTAATTACTTTTAATCAAGAACAACAAAATGTTTGTTTTCATCTGTCTTGATATTCTTTTGTTGTAATTGAGTGTCTGTCAAATAATATCTCCTATGTTATTAACAGAGTCATAAATAAAATTAAGAAGTATTGATTTATTTTTTGTAAGTCTGGAATAATGACTTAATCAATAAAAGAAGGACTGGACCAAAGAGAGGAAGAAGACAAGCAATTTTATGTTCTATTGGGAAGAAGAGAATTGCAAAGAAATCTTCTGAATAAGCAACTGTATGAGCCTCTGCCATTAAATCTTGTGACTTAGAGAAAGCAGAGAAAAGGTCTTGAGAAAGGAGTATTTGATTTAACTGAGGTGGAATGGAAGTGGCTTTATCTGCTAATGATTTAGGAAGGGGAACAAAAATCTCTTCTTTAGTAATTTCTTCAAAAGAATGAATAAGAGAAATCGTTGTATATAATTGTTCTACTGTTAACTGCCTCATAACATTATCCAATTCTAATGAAAGGAATCCGTTTGAATGAGAATAATCAGTGACAATTAATGGATTTTTAATTGTAGGAATTTCTAATATATGTCTGAAGTAACCTACAACTGATTTTTCCACATAATTTAATGGACCAGTTGCTTTGTAATTTTCGAAATGTAAGTGAGTGATATTTGATGAAAGTAATAAATTAAATCGATATAAACAATTCATGTCAGCATAATTTAATTCTGTTGAATGTTGCTTTTCTGTTATAGAAGTGAAACGATAATGAAGTGGGAAATAGGACTGAAGTTTATTAATAATTTTTAAAATATTTGTTTGATAAATACTGTTTTCACTTGATAACGTAAAACACCAATCTGATATTTCCCTTGAATGTAATACTTTTGGAGGAAATTGTGGGAAAAGTTCAAGCAATAACTCTGATAATATATTAACATTATTGGAAGTATATTTTAATGTTCGTTCATTAGAAATATATAATTTTGATTCATGTTTGTTTTCTTCTACCTCAACATTATATTGGCCAGGAACTTCAGTTGATATGAAACCAGAACAGTAAACAATTATTTCTGCTGATTTTAACTTTAATTGATCACAAAATAATGAAGGTTTAAGATGAAAAATAGGTTTAATATTTGAAGGATTATTCATTTTGTCTATTGTAAAAGAATATCTATCATTTCCAATTAGCCAAACAACAAATGGAATCATAACGAGGATAATTGAAAATATGAGGATTAATGTGATTACTCTTCTCTTCATAATTTAATCTGTTTTTTTATTTTATTTTTATTTTTTATTATTTAATTTTTTGTTATTCATGAATTATTATGTTATTAAGAACGTTTTTTTTTCTTTCCATTTAAAAGAACTTATAAAAAGTTTTCAAAAACAAAAAGACAACTCTCTGGAATTCAACTAGAAAATTCTCTTTACAACTCAAAACAACAGAAGTCTTTTTTCAAATTAAACTTAAAAAATCTTTAAAATTCAAATCTGTTCATTTCAAATAAAGAGATGTATACCAGTGGAAAATGTTTTCTATTTGGATTAATTGCAATAATTCTTCCACCCATTCCAATACTAATAATGAGAAAATTTAAAAAAGAATTTTGGATTAGTTTAGTTCTTTGTTTATTACTTTGGGTACCAGGTATTATTTACGCAGAGTATTATATTTGTAATCATTTTAGGACATATGCAATTACTCATTTTGACTTCTAGTCTAATTTAGTTTTATCATTATTTGTTTATTATAATATTCATATTATATATTGAATTTTTTATTAAATTAAATATAAAAAAAAAGAATGGATAAAGAATAAAAATAATAAACTGATTAAAAATAAATAACATACTTAAATTTTCTTTATTGATTGAATTTATCTTCTTTTATTAACTTAAATGAATAATAAAACAAACAAAATTATTCATTAAAGACCTTTGAAGGTTTGAATTAAAAGGAAGTATTGCTTTTAAATACAAAAGAATTTAAACCCTTTTCTAAAAACTAATTATTTCATAAATTTTTTATTTGATGTATTGCCATTTAAAATGTTGGTGTTTAATTTTTCTATCATTTATATGTCCACCAATACCAATAGTAATTATGAATAAATGTTCATTACCAGTTTATATAAATATTATTTTAACTCTTTTCTTCTGGTTGCCTGGAGTAATTCATTGTTTAGTCTTTATAGGAACTCATTACAAGAAATGGTATATATCCAATCTTGATTTTAATTCATTGTAATACATCATCAATTTATTTATTATTTCTAATTTAAAATGAACAAAAGGATTTGTAAATTAAAATTTGTTTCAATTAAAAAAATTTATTCATCCTCTGCATCTTGAGAATTAGCATCTTCAGTAGTGTCTTCATTTTCTTCGATTTCTTCTTCTTTAGAAACAACACATGGATCCCTTTTTACTACACAAGATCCTCCTTCAGATTCAATTTGTGCTTTAATAGCTGCAACTGCAGCATACATAATTTCCATTCCTTTTTGTCTTTCAGGAAGAGTAAGGAATAATACATACAATGGAGATGAAACTAATTTAATAACTAACCCTGAATCACCTGCACTTTCTACACCTTTTAATAATGCTCTTTTAACTGATTCAACTCCTCCAATTGCAAAACAGCTTACTTCAATATCTGCACGGAATTTTAATGGTTGAATAGTCATATAATGTGAAATAGTTTGATGTAATGCATCTAATATATTAGTTGGAATTTTATAAGGTTCAAAAACATCAGGTTCAGTTAAACTCTTTCTAAAAGCGTCATGAAGAGTACCATATTTTTTAGCTAATGGCCATCCAAACATAGTATATAATTCTTCCATTGAAATATCAGCTTTTTTTGCAATTAATCTCATAATTAAATGTGCTTCTTTATTTTTTGTATATCTTGTAAGAAATGCTGATTTTTCTTCTGGAGTTGTTCGTTTTAATGAAAGATCAATAAATCCACTTTCAGAATTTACACGAATAACTGTAGCAACTTCTTCTTTTCCAACACGTGTTAGACGAGTTTGTTTATATCTTTTTCTTGATAATTCTGACATAGGAATCATACCTTGAATATCATCATATTCTTTTAATGCAACGTATGTTCCCATCTCACTTGAAGATACTACAGTAACTAAACAAAGATCATCTTCATTAGGAAATTTTTGTTCTAACATTCTACAATGTAATTTAGGATTATCAATATCAGGTGCACTCATTTCTAATAAAGTTCTTTTTCTTTTTGAGTTTTAAAAAAGAGGGTTTTTTTAATTGAAATTCTTAAGAAATATTTTTTTTTTCTTTATAAATTTTAAATTTTATAAAATTATTAAATTACATTTCTTTCATCAGTTTTCTCATAATGGAAAGACTTTAAATGATGTTCTCCTTCATAATAATGCACATACCTGCATATAAAATTACAATTCTTATTTTCTCGATTAATAATTAGTGTTCCTGTAATATCACCAACAATAAATTCTTTAATATTTATTGTTTCTTTTAGATTTAAATTATAAAAATTAAATTTTTCCATATGAATAGTTATTGGCTCTCTTCCAATACCTCTAAAACTCATTTCTCCTTTTTCTATTTGTATTATTACAAATGTTGGATAACAAATTGAAATATTATTTATTTGTAAAACTACTTTTCTTGATACAAACCATCTATCAGGAAGATGAAGACTAATAAGAGTAGTGAGATCAATAGGTAGTTCTCGTTTATAATTTGTCTCATTTTTAATAAAATTAAAATGACTTTTATCATTAAGAACTTTTAAAGTTGTAATACATGATATGTCAAGAGTTCCTTTACATTCACAATTATCTAAAATAAATCGAGTTAATTGAGATGAACCAAATTGAATAAAACATTTACACCTTGACAATGAGAGTTGAATTAAAGATGTTGGAAGTATAATATCCGATGTTGCTAAATCAATAATTAATGTTTTTAAATTAATTAAGTTAGAGAAATCATTTTTTCTTTGTCTTGTTTTATTACTAAATAATATTTCTGCTCGTGAAATATTTTCTGTAATGATATGATTAATAACAGGATCAATTAATTTAAATTGAACAGAATCATAAATTTCAACTGGTGTTGGACTTATTCTATAACGACATATATTTTGTGAAGGAAAACAAATAATATGTTGTGATAAATCATTCCATAACTTTTTACCAAATAATGCAATTGACATGTTTGTAGGTTTTTTATTTAATAAAGATCCTATAATATTTTCATTACATATTGAATGAAATACAATTGAAATTGATATAACTGAATGACATGTTTTTTTTCTTTCTTCATTATTTGTTTGAACAATACCACATAATAATTCAAATGAACTTTCATCATTTAAATAACAAATTATTCGTTGAACTGATTCAATGTTAATAATTGAATGAATTAATTCAACGGTAACTGAACTATCAACAATAACTTTTTGTAATTTAGTATAATTAATATTTGATAATGAAATAATATTTGCAATCATTTTATTAACATGAATAGATCTTACTTTATTTCCAAACCATTTTTTTGAAAATATACCAAATCCTAAGTGTTCGTTCCAACATTCAATTTCAAAGTTATCAATATTTTTTAATTCAACTCTTTTTGGTATTACATGTGGTTGATTAAAATAAATTGTTTGTAATTTTGGAAATATTTTAATAATTGTTTGAAATGGATATTTCTTGGTTAATTGATATGGATGAATATATACTGAAACAATTGCTATTTGACATGATTTTGATACACTTTCAAATTTCATTATTTCATATAAATTTGGGAGATAAAACAATACATTTCTAAGGAACAGATTTTCTAATCTACATTTATTCATGAACTTTATAACTCTATTCAGTATTTTATTTAGTTTAACTATTTTGTTTTATTTTAATTTTTTTTTTGATGTTAAAAAGAAAAACAAATTAAAATAACTTAATATAATATAAATAAAGATTGTTTATTGCACTTTTCACTTTTATTTTAACTCATTAATTCTTCTCTCATTACTTTAAATAACCCATTCATTAAATCATTAACTGTTTGTGGAAGAATTCCATCTTTTCCATAATCCATTAAACGAATAGGTTCTCCATTTAATTTTTTAATTATTGGAAATCTTTGATGACTAGGTTCATTAATAAAAAATTCAAAGCCATATTGTAAATTTTCTATTTCATCATTTAATCTAGTTTTTACATATAAATATTCATTGTCTATTTCATAATAAAAAAATGGATTTTTTAAACAATACAAATGAAGTTGAGTAAAGAATTCATCAAATTTTGGATATGAATTTGGAATAGTTGGGATAGATGACATGTCTATTGACTTTTCTACTTCTTCTTTAAATATTTCTCTTTTTTGTTGATTTAATTCTTCAGAATGATTTTCTGATTTCTTTCTTGGTACAGTAGAAACGGAACCAATTGCTTTGGACTGAACTTCTTTAATAAAATTTTGTGGAAAATTCTCAAGACGCAAATCAATTCCAGGTACTGGTGTTGGTGTGGAACCAACAGAATGTTGTTGAATACTTATAGGTCGTGGAGTAGGTGCAACCTGATTTACAGTTGGTGTGTTTACATTAATTGTTTTTATTGGTTCAACTACACGTGTATGAGGACTTGGAGTAGTTTCCATTAATGATGGTTTAGCAGTGATTGGTTGTTGTATGTGTTGAGGAATAACAGAAGGAGATTGTGTAGGTAAAGGAGAAGGAGGAAGATCTTCAATTGGACCTTGTTTTACAGTTTTTTGATAAATAAATTTATTTTGTACAGATGAAGGAATTTGAGGTTTTTTTTCTTCATTAATGATTGGAGGACGAATTTCTATTGGTTGTTGTTGTTTACTGATTATTTTTCCAAACATTTGAGGTTGTGGTTGTTCAACTTTTATTGTTGGTTGTGGAATTCCCATTCCCCTTACAGTTGCTTGTTGTGCTAAACGCATTCCTGTTGTGGTTGGTCTTGCATACGTTGTCCTCATCATTGGAGTTCTGGGGATACTCATTTGAGGATTGCCAACCATTGTAGGTGTTATTCCACGTGCTTGCATTACTTGTCCACGAGACATAGGTTGTGGTACAGGACGTATTGCAATTCCGCCATGACCACGAAGTCCCATATTTTGTTGTTGAGACACTATATTTTGTCTTGTCATATCTAGACTTTGTGGTACAGCAAATTGTTGTCTTGCACCCATCGGTTGAATAACCTGAGCTTGTTGATTTATTTGTGAAAGATTTAATGCCCCCATTTGTTGGGTTCGTTTAATATTTGTTGGAATATGTAAATTTGTTTGGATTGGAATAGGGAAATTATTACCCAAAGGCATAGTTGGAATACCTACTGGTCTTATTTGTGAGGTGGTTGGTATATGACCTTGACCAAGATTTGGGGTGGTTATTGGTATTCCAGCACTTACAACCATTGGAAAATTTGGTGGATAACTAACAGAATTACCTTGAGTTACTCCAGTAACTATGTGTGGAACTCTCTGTCCATTTGTAACCTGAATAAAATTTAAGGTTTGCATTTTTCCATTAGGACTAAACTGAGGATTATTGTTTGGTGGGAACCGACTCATATTTTTAATAAATTAACTATATAGATTTTGTTTTTATGAAATAATAAAGATACAACAGTTATATATAACAAAAAAGATAATGAAAAACAAAAATAAAAGAAATCTAAAAAAATAAAACCCTGATGATTAATATTAGACGTGCAACAGTTTGATTTCTTTTTAATGGTATTATCAGTGAAGATTATATTAGAAATATTTATTTTCTTTTAGCCAGAAGACCTTCCTAAACTTCAAGGTGCTAATTTGATTAATTTAGCAGAAAATTATACAATGAAATATTATTATTACCATCTTCTTCTTTGGCCATCTATTACATATTTGGCAGAAAGTGTTGATGGTAAAGTAGTGGGTTATGTTTTAACAAAGATGTTTGTCATTTTTATTTCACCTACAAAGAAATTATTTTTATAACCACTCATTTATAGGGACGAAGATTCAACAATTCCTTTTGGTCATATCACTTCAATTAGTGTATTAAGGTCATACAGAAGATTAGGAATAGCAACAAAATTACTACGTGCTGCAGAAAATTCTATGATTGAATGTTTTGGTGCAGAGTATGTTACTCTTCATGTACGTGAAAGTAATAAACCTGCTCGTCATTTGTATGAAGTAACAATGGGTTACAAACAACATTCTGTTGATAGAAAATATTATAATGATGGAGAAGATGCTATTGTAATGCGCCATTATTTAAACATTAGTAATCTATCTAATCCAGATGCTTCTTCAGACATATTAGATGTTTGGAAATCCAAACATCTTGTTTCAACCCAAGCGTAATTTAGCTTCATTAAAAATAGTGTTTTTATAATATTTTTATTATTTAATTATTATTTAACAAAAATAGAAAATAAAAATCTTCATTTCACTTCAGATATTAATTCAAATCCTTTTTATATAGAATAATAAGGAAGTATCTCCGAAAGTACAATTTGTTTTCATTTCTATTATTTAAACATGGTTAGAAACACAATCTAACATTATGAGTACTCAACTTACTCCACTTAGAAATAAAATTATTTCAGAAGTTGTAAAATGTTTTAAGAGTGGTAGATTTATTGAAGACATTGATAAATTACCTGCAATTCTTACTGGTGGAGACGAATGGAAACCAACGTCTAAATTTGTTCGTTCAAGAGAACAAGAAGAAAGTATCTATAGAGAAAAAGTTTTGTCTGTCCTTGGATTTGTTGATGGAGAGTATGATGATACAACACCACTCCATGTTTATGCACAAAAGGCATTAGAAAGAACTTCATTAGATGAACCAGTTTTTGGTATTTCACAAAAAGGATGTAATAAATGTCATTTTAATGGTTATTTTGTTACACAATCTTGTGAAGGATGTACATCTCGTCCATGTTCTGTTAATTGTCCAAAAAAGTGTATTTCATTTGGAGAAGATGGACGAGCTTTAATTAATCAAAATGATTGTATTAAATGTGGAAGGTGTTTCAAATTTTGTCCATATGGTGCAATCATCCATAAATCAATTCCTTGTGTCAAAGCATGTCCTTGTGGAGCAATGTTAGATTCTCCAGAAGGAGTTAAAACAATTGATTTCGAAAAATGTATTAATTGTGGAGGTTGTATGAGAGCTTGCCCATTTGGAACAATTCTTCCACGTAGTAATCTTATTGATGTTTTAAAAATACTTCCAACTAAGAAAGTTGTTGCTTGTCCAGCACCATCTATTGCAGCTCATTTTGGTAAATATGATTTATCTTTAGTTTCAGGTGGATTAATTCAACTTGGATTTACTTCTGTAGAAGATGTTAGTTATGGTGCTGATTTATGTGCATTAAATGAAGCAAAAGAATTTGAAGAACGTATTGTTAAAAATAAAAAAGATTTTATGACAACTTCTTGTTGTCCTGCATATATTAATGCTATTAATAAACACATGCCAGAATTACAAGAAAATGTTTCTCATACTCCTACTCCAATGCATTTTGCTACTCAAACAGTCAAAGACAGAGATCAAGAGACTATTACAGTTTTTATTGGTCCATGTAATGCTAAACGATGGGAAACATTAAAAGATTCTACTACTGATTATTGTCTCACATTTGATGAAATATTTGGTCTATTTGAAGGAAGTGGAATAGATTTAAGCAAAGTACAACCATACACTTTTGTTGATAAAGCACACAAAGAAGGTAAGATCTTTGCTGTAAGTGGAGGAGTTGCATCTGCTGTAGCATCTTTACTTCCAAAAGAAATACCAGATGGAGTAATTAAACCAGTAATCATTGATGGATTTTCACAAGAAAATTTCAAAAGATTAAAGAATTTCAAAAAGAATATTACTGGTAATCTTGTCGAAGTTATGGTTTGTGAAGGAGGATGTGCGTATGGACCAGGATGTCCTGGACTAAATACACCAGCCACATCTGCTAAAATTAAAATAGCTGTAGATAAAATGGAAGCTCATCCAGAAGGAAGATGGGTTGGTTTACTAAATTCCCAAATTAAGCCAATTAAAGTAGAAAATTAATAATCAATTTAATACTTTTTGAAAATTAATTATGAAAAAAAAAATGAATAAAAAGTAAGAAAATTCTTGAGTATTAATTAATTTGAAAGTATTAATGAAAGTTACACCATTATCATTAAAACTTGTAATATATTTTTTTCTTGTTAACAGTGTACAGTTTTCAATAGAGTTCTCTTGTTTGAACAATTTATTTTAAATTAAATAATTCAATATTAACTTATATAGATAATATTCCAATTATTAATTTATTTTTCATTAACAATTATTCTTCTTTAACAGACGAATCAATTCAATATGACTCTCTTGCACATTCTGTTATTAAAATGACTATAGGCCCAATTATTGGGTTTTTTTTACAACCAATTATAGGTGCTCTTAGTGATCATGCTTCATTTAGCTATGGAAGAAGAAGACCAATAATGATTTTAGGACTTGGTATTTGGTTTATTGGAAGTTTTGGTACTTTAATTAGTTCTATTTATCCATTACTTCCTGTAACTCTAAAAACAATAAATGTTAATGAACTAAATGGATTAAGTCTTTGTGATGGTTTATTTGTTATCTTTCAAATTATTGTTGCAATTGGAATCAATTTAATTCAAGTCTCATATCGTTCATTTGTATTAGATCAATTTGATTGGATTGATCAAACACGAGTAACACTAATTGGTTCTGTAATGTTAGGGTTAGGTAATATTATTTATTATGGAATAACTTCAATTATTTGTTTAATATATTTAACACAACCAAATCATGACAAAATATTTTTAACAAAAGCACGTTTAATAACAACCTTTTGGTTAAATGTGATATCGTTATTTGTTATGCCAATAACAGTTTATTTATTCTGTCATTTTGTTAATGAATCACCATATCCATCTGGTAATATTTTATTTAAAGAACATATTCAGAATATCTGGACTTCAATAAAACACATTAATAAAAATATGTGTTTAATTCTTATTGTAGTATTTGTTGGTTGGTTTGCATGGACACCAATTAAAGAAAATACACAATTGTATTTCATGTATTATGTTTTTGAAGATAAACAAGACTTATCATTCCTTTATTTCAATTTCAATAGACTTTTGTTTGGAATTACTGTTGTAATAACTGGATTGATTCTGTTTATTATTAATAAAAAACCTATTCTTACAATGTTTTCTTTTAATATTATAACTGGGTTATGTGCTATTATTTATTATATCCCACGTTCATCATTTAAGAATGATACTTTACAATATTTTGTTTCACTTTTACCTCTTATCTTTTCTGGGTTATGTTATTGTCAATTAACTTCTTTACCATATGCTTTAACAAGAAAAGTAGTAAAAACTGATGACTTTGGATTTTTTGTAGGATTGGTTAATAATTCATTAACTCTTTCTCAGTTATTATCACAACTTATTTCAATCATTATTAATATTTCAATAAATAAAGACTCTAATGATTCTTCAGAATCTATTAATCAATACCATACTAATTATTATATGTTTATTGTTTGTCCTACTTTTCTTCTTTCTGGAATATCAAGTTTATTATTTATATTTGTTATTAAAACACCAGATCAAAATAGTAAAGCTATGGACCAAAATGAAACTACTCAACTCATGAAATAATTTAATTCTTTTTTTTTTGTTACCTTATTGTTTAATAAAAAATTATTCAATTAAAATACAGTGATAACAGCATGAAATAAACCTGGAAAATAACATAATAATGTAAGAAAAATATTCGCAATAAAGTCTGCACAAATACCACATCTACAATAAACAGCAACAGGTGGACAAATAATAGATAATACAAGAGATTTATACCATTTCATATCTAAATAATTAATTATCAATTTCTAGTTTTCGCTGATTGTAGAAGAGACAAAATATTTCAAAAGAGACATTAAACGAACTTTTTAACTCAATATTTTTAAAAGAAAATTTCTTTTAAAAGGAAAAAGAAACCTCTATTCATTCAATTAACCCTAGAATCTTTTTCTTTTTTATTCATAATGGACTTTTTCATTCAACAATTCCCTAAAGTAGAATTACATTCTCATTTAAACGGATCTATTAGAGAAGATACTCTTAAGATGTGGCACCAAAATGCTAATATTACTGAGTTAATTGATTCTATCTTATCTCCAGAAACATCTTGTGAAGAAGCGTTATCTAATTGTTTTAAATCATTTGATTTAATTTATGAAGCCACAAACTCATTAGAAAGAATTAAAATTTTAGCAATGCAAGTTCTTGAAGATTATGATAACGATAATACTATTATTGCTGAAATAAGAACAACACCAAGAAAGTTAGAAGGTCATAGTCAAAGAGATTATATTGATACTGTAGTTAATGCTTTTGAAGATTATATTAAACAGAGAACTAAAACAACTCCATTCTATCCTTATTTAATTCTTTCTATCAATAGGTCTAGATTAAATGATGCAAATGAAACTATAGAATTGGCATCTGAATATCAAAAGAAAACACCATTTGTTAGAGGTATTGAATTGAGTGGAAACCCATTCAAAGGGACATGGAAAGAAATTGTACCATTGATGGAACATGCAAAAGAATTAGACTTACCAATCACAATGCATATTGGAGAAAAGGTTGATGATGAAGAGTGTGTTAAATTAATAGAATGTTATCCGTTACGTGTTGGACATGGAATATTTTTAAATAAAAAAGCAATTGAATTAATGCACGAAAAAAATATTGGGTGTGAAGTGTGTTTAACAAGTAATATGGTTTCAAGAAGTATAAAAGGATATGATAAACATCCAATGATGAATAAGTCATTGTTCCAAGGAAAGGTATTTATTAGTTGTGATGATAGAGGATTATTTAGGACAAGTATGGTTAATGAAATGAAACGTGCTATTCAAGCATATTGTCATAATAACGAACAAGAAGGAAAAGAGTTTATGAAACAACTATGTTTAGATGGAATCCAATTCTCATTTTTATCATCTGAAATAAAGCAAAAATTAAGAGATTATGTTTTAGGTATCAATGTTTAATTGAAATTCATTATAAATTAAGCAATTTTATTTTTATTATATCTTTATTTATTATAATATTCTTTTTTAATTTAAATAACAACAATTCCTTTTTCAATTCGAAAAAACAAATTATATTACTATTATAATTGAATAACGTTCTTGAGTATTGTAAAGAGGAGTTAACAAGAAATAAATATTCAATGAGATATAGAAGGGTGTCAATAGCAATAAAATATAGTAAAAATGATAAAAGAAATACAATGAAAAAGTAAATGAAAAGAGAATAAATAATGAAAAATGAATAAGAAAAACATGAGTAAATAGAATGACAATAAAGGTAATATCAATAAGAAATATATAATGTTAGCAAAGATTGAAGTTAAAGTGAAAAGAAGAAATTAAGAAGAGTTCAAAAATAAGAGTATAAATAAATAAAAAATAAATGGTAAATAAAAAGATAACATAGAACAAGAAGGTGTTGAATCTAAAATAACAAGAAAATAGATAAAGTTAAAGAAACAATTAAAGAAAAACAAAAAAATATAATAATAGAAGAAATAAAGACCATAATCAAAATAAAGAAATGAATAAAATATGTAAAGTGAATGAATAATAAATAAAGACACAACAAAACAAAGAAACAATAAAGAAGAAATTAACAACCAGTAGAATAGTATCAAGAAAGAAGACAACAAAGAATAAGAAAGAACAAAACACTTCATCAGAAATAATGACAAAAACACAAAATAATGATAAAAAAAGAAAATAAGAAAGAAATAGAAATGAAAACTAACTAATCAATAATAAAAAAGTAGTTAATTAATTGTTGTTAGACTTATATTCTATTGTTCTTTACTCACTAGTGACTAATCACATCACCATTCTTTAAGAATGAGTTACTCACCAACTATCTACTTATTATTTAGATTTTCATCTTGTTGAGAAATGTGATTTTCTATTACTTCATTTTTTATTTAGACTGAGTTAATGTCTTTTTAAACATCCTCATCTTAATTATTTATCATTTAAGTAATTATCTCATTTTAATTTGAATTTAGTGTGTATTAAAACTCTTCATTCTTTACTTTTATTTTACGTTGATTATATTATTACCACTATAATGTTATGGTTAATTTTATTTATCGTCAACAACAAGTAGATCAACTTTTATTGACTATATCAGTATATTCAATTCACTCATTCATTATCAAATATACTTGCACGTTGATAAATAAATAATACCGCCATTTTTATAAATACTCTTCTATTATAATAAATGGTGTTTTATCATCATAAATAATAATCACTGTCATTCCAATTATTGAGTAAGATCTTCCCTAACCAGTGGTAACGTCATAATCAGACGATGACTATTGATTCGAGTCTTAGATTTATTTTAATGTTTATGTGATGTCCCCAATGTACCACCTTCAAATTAAAAACTATAAAAAAAAGAAAATATCTAATACTGTATTGATTAGAAAGCAAATGAATAAGAAGATAGAAAAAAAAGAATGAAGAAATAAAAAAAGATAAAAAAGAAAAGAATAACAAAAAGAAGAATTAAATGATATTTTCATAATAACATTTAAAAATAAAATGTTATTAAAAACATAAAAAGAATAATCTAGAATGAAAAAGAACTTAATAATAAATATGAGATTTAATAAAATAACAAATTTAATAAATGTAATATATAACAATAAAATGAAAAATGATAAAAATAAAAAACAGAAAAACTTAAAAATAGACAATGGGAACAACATCATCAACACCAAATAAACTACAAATTGATAAAATAAAAAAAATAATTCAACAACTAGAAGAATGGACAGAAAGAAGAGTAGATGATGTTATATTTGATCAAACGTGATAAT